TTGACAGTTGGCTCTTTCTGGCAGACAGATCTCTGGCAAAGACTTTGGAGCCCTGGTTCCGCTCGATCGCTTCTTTAATACGAACAGTATTAAAGTTGCATAAGTCTCGCCGCATGCATTTGGAGATCTGTCTGTTCAGTTGCCTGTATGCTGTCAAATCTGTTGACGATTGCAGCCTCATCTCCTGTCTAACAGCCATGAGATTAAGAGTGTGATCGGAGAGTTTTTGTGTTCTTCTGCGGCGTGTCTTGCAGAACTTAGCTCCGACCGCATGGACAGTCTCCACGAGCTTGTCATTCATATCGTCCACTGCATTGCAATCCTCTAGGCACTGAAAGCGGTTTTGTAACTCGAGCTGGAAGGTTTCGGGATTCTGGATTAGAGCACGAGGGGGGACGGAGCGTTGACTTCATTAGACGAGACCTCTCCAACTTAATGACCTGTCCATGTCCGCTGAATGACCTCAATGGTGTTTCCCGACGGATAGGTCTTAAGATGAACATGGACAAAACAAAGACCATGTTTAATATCTACGTCACACCTGTGCCGTTAGTTGTGGGAAGCACTATGCTCAAAGTTGTTGACGAGTACGTTTACCTGGGACAAATAGTCCGACTAGGTAAGTTCAACTTCGACCGAGAGGTCAATCGGCGGATTCAACGCGACTGGTCAGCGTTTGGATAATTACGACACATCTTCTCGTCAGGTATACCTCAAAATCTGAAAACTAGATTGTACAACCAGTGCGTGTTGCCAGTGATGACTTACGGATCTGAGACGTGGTCCTTCACTGCTGGCCGTGTGATGACGCTTAAGGTCACAACGAGCTATGGAGAGAGCTATGCTCGGGGTTTCTCTGCGTGATAAACTTAGAAATGAGGATATTCGCAGTAGAACCAGAGTGATTGACATATCCCAACGGATTAGTAAGCTGAAGTGGCAATTGGCCAGCCATATAGCTACTAGAACCGACAGCCGATGGGGAAAAAGGTGCTCGAGTGGCAGTCTCGTACCGGTAGGCGTAGTGTACGGCGACCCCCCACTAGATGGAGTGACGACCTAGTAAGACATGCAGGAAGTCGATGGATGCAGGTGGCTCAGGACCGTGCTTTGTGGTATTCCTTAGGGGAGGCCTATGTTCAGCAGTGGATTTGTGAAGGGCTGTAATGATGATGATAAAAAGCGAAAGGTACTCCGGATTAACTTTGACTTCGGGACGTCAATCACTTTAGTCCCACTGTGACCATGGGTGTTGTTAAGTACGTAAAACGGGAATTATAAAATAAGTAAAATCAATCCGAAAAATCCGCACAAATCGTTTTATTCTTACTAGGTAGTCACTTATATAGTGGGGGGCATACGTACCCTTCGGTTACAAGTACGAGTCACTGCCACTCGAAATCTTTCTTCCCCATCGGTTGTCGGTCCTTCGAGCTATATGGCTGGCCCATTGCCATCGGTCGAGGTTGGAATTACCTATAGTTCATAAAAGATAGCTTGATCTCTGCGATAGCTGTCAATAAAATCACGCCTATGAAGTCCTGAATTTCTTAGTAGTACAGACAGTACCTGTCAATATCATACTTTATGAGCATGCCGACCTAATTAGTGCATGCCCATAAAGTATGACATTGACAGGTACTGTCTGTACTACTAAGAAATTCAGGACTTCATAGGCGTGATTTTTACTGACAGCTGTCGCAGAGATCAAGCTATCTTTTATGAACTGTAGTCAATCAATTTGTACGAAAGAAACATAGTCGTCAACAACTTCCTCATCCGTGTTCTTAACAACTGTCGACATAGGTAACATGACCTTTGTTTTGTCCATGTCAAATTAATGACATATCCGTTGGGAGACACTTATTAAGTCATTAAGCATAGCGATAAGTTTCTCCAGCAATTTTACTATAGTGAATATATCATCGACAAATCGAAGGTGAGTGATGTACTCGCCATTTTTGTTAATACCGTATCCTTTTTAGTCCGGTAACTATAAACGGATAGCGATCGTTACCCTTCAAACACTTCGTCACTTCGACATATCGGCAATGGAGAACTATAGCAGAACCACCCAAATTTCGACGAATGGAAAGGCTTTCTGATAGTCCACATATAGATTGACTATTTTATTATCTAAACAATGTGCGAACTGAGTCCGTACTAAAGCCTTTTTAGAAGATGACTTATCAGGGAGGCTAAAGTTGTCTAGTCTGCATGCTAGACCATTTGTGATAATCCTCGAAAGCAGCACTCAAAAATGAAAGTGGCCGCTCAGAAGGGAAATCGGTCTGTAAATTATCAATAGAGCGTTGGCGCCTTTTTTAAAGAACAAGATCATCGCACTTGTGCTCTACGCCTTGGAAGTTGTACCATAATAGACTACAGAATTAAAAACCTTCTAAAGAACTTCAAGTTACATTTTTAGTAGTTAAACTTATCACCCGCTTTAACAAGCACCGCTATTACTCAATCCATATCCAGAACCTTGCTGTTTTTAAGAAACAGAAACAGAAACTTTTTTATTCAATGCAGATTATAACAATACTTATTGAAAGTCACTTTTTTCATTTACCACGGGTTCGCAAAAAACACCTCTGTCCTGGGAAGAACCAGCAAGAAACCCAGCGGGACTACCTTTTTTTCCAATAATAGCTTACAATCATGTTTACAATTAGCAACACAAGACAAATTAGAAATAGCTTGGTAGCGATCACCCTTCCCAGGGGTTATTATCATCCATAAACTCCTTAATATAACCCTTTTTATACAAACTTAGTTTAATAACATTTTTGAACTTTGTGTATGACAAATTTTGTATATTTTCTGGGATTTTGTTGTAAAAGCGTATACATCGCCCCAAGAATGAATTACTGACTCGGTGGAGTCGAGTAACTGGTACTACTTGCTTGTGTCTGTTCCTAGTATTTACAGAATGAATATCACTTATTTTCGCAAAACTACTTTTATTTTTGTTTACGTACATTACATTTTCATAAATGTATTGAGAGGCCAGAGTATATCAATTTCCTTAAATTTTTGTCTCAGTGACTCTTTTGATTTTAAATTATATATTGCTCTAATGGCCCTCTTCTGTAAAATAAATATAATTTCAGTGTCAGTCGCGTGTCCCCATAGCAAAATACCATACGACATAATGCTATGAAAATAACAAAATTAAACTATTCTAGCTCTTTCAACACTGGTAAGACTTCTAATCTTTTTACAGCATATGCTGCAGAACTAAGTCTGCTAGCTAGCTTTGATATATGGGGGGAGCCATTGAAGCTTTGCGTCCAGTGTGATTCCAAGAAAAATGGTGGTATCAACAAGACTCAGTTCCTCCCCATTTAAAATTAAATTAGTATTGACATGTTTAACATTAGGAGTTACGACTTTCATACATTTAGTTTCAGTTCCATTTAAATGCAAATTATTAACATTAAACCAATTAACTATCTTAGCTATAGCATTATTTACTTCGTCGTAATTTAATAACTGTCGTTACTATGTAAGTCATTAATATATACAAGAAACAGAAAGGGGCCAAGAATTGAGCCCTGAGGCACGCCCATTTGTACAATCGACCCGGAAGAACTCATACTATTAATGACAACTTTTTACGTTCTGTGACTTAAATATGAATTAATTAATTTAAGAGCATAGCTTCTTACACCGTAGTGTAGAAGTTTCCTGATTAATGTTTCATGGTGAACACAATCGAAGGCTTTGGATAGGTCACAGAACACACCCAAAGCATCCTATGAATTCTCCATCAATTGTCGAGTGACCCCTTGTGAAACCAAATTGATTTTTATGAAGTAAATTATTCACATTAAAAAAACATTCGATCAAGAATAATTTTTTCAAAAATTTTTGTAAGTGTTGGCAGTACAGAAATAGGCCTAAAATTAGCGGGGTCTAATGTAATACTAGATTTAAATAAAGGTATTACTTTACTATGCTTCATTAAATCTAAAGTTTCTGGAGAACCATTCTAATCTCACTCAGACCGGCATCAAGGAATTTTGGGATAACACCGGAATAGTATCGAATGAGATTTGTTCTTGGATCGTTAATTAAACTTGCATGTAGTCGTACAACTATTTGTAGAACCTGTCAATCCCACCCAAAGATTTTTCGGAAATGACGTTGTCAATATCAGTTTTTAACTGATATTGGCGGCTCTTTCCTGTAGAATGATCTCTGTCAAAGAGTTTGGAGCCCTGATTGCGCTCAATAGTTTATTCGATACAAGTTGTATTGAAGTTCTGTAAGTGTCACCGCATGCATTTGGTGATCGGTCAGTTGCCTTAAATTGAAGTAAATTGCACAGTCTTAGCGTATAAAAGCCTTTCTTCACTAGTCAATGATAAAAGCCCATTTTTCTTGCTTTGAAGACGCCGGCAGATTATTCCACTTCGTGTAAACTATAAACCCTTCATTCGAAGGTTAAACAGTTGTTGGTGTGATAACAATCTTGCCGATTAACAACATCATTTTACCGTTTTTGATCTCGAGATATGTTATATAAAAGGACGATTAAGTGTTTGTACAAGAACTTAGAACCCCTTGAAACAATATGTAACAAGAACGTCTTTACATATAAAATCGTGAACAGATTTTGCAATTTGGATATAGTTTTCTGAGCTGTATTAAGGTATTTTTTATAATAGTGATAAACGAACTTACTGTCCATCTATTGGTAAATGGCTACTACAGCTCATGGACAACTGCAAACAGCTTCAAACAATGAAACCTGCACATATATTGTGACCTCTAAGGACTATGTTAGAATGCCTCATATACTGTAGTTGTACTGTATCTATATACCCTTCAGGCCGAAACACAGCAGTTTAACTCAAAAATTTATGTACCATTTTTATTACGAGTGAAGTAAACATTTTGAATATTTATTTACTAAACATGGACAAAATTAAATATTCATAATTTGTACTTTAAATATTTATTTTATTAAATAAATAAAATAAAATTATAAATCAAATATAACTTATACTATTTTTGAAAATTGCTTTCGATGTTGTTACGTAATTAGGATCCTCGGTGACGGGATCATAAACATCACTATTAACCTGGGTTGGTTCTAATGTATCTGTAATGTCCGTATTTGATGGATTATTACTGCCTCCTGGTTTTGATAGACTAACGCCGTCTATTCCCATATCCATGCAATCGAAATGTAAAATCTGAAAAATGAAAGATCTTAGTCAGTTTTTATAAAGGCTTAACGAGCTTTAACGTAAGATAGTTATATATGATTGAATGAGTAATGTAAATAAATATTAAATATTATCCTAAACATTAAATCACTCACTCGTCATAATTTTCCCCACTTCGATGTAACGCTAAAGCAATAAGACTGAAGAAAACTACGAGTATAGACGCAGTATAAAATACATAGGTCTTAAATAATATTCCTCTTTATTTTCCACGAATTTCGGTATTCCTGTGTTTACTGTTACGGGGTGCCTTAATTATAATTACCATTACTGTTATAACATATTTAAGTCCAGTGCTCAACATAGGCCTTTCCCATATATTGCCTCATAGGGAGGATATTTGCCATAATTGCCACGCTTGGCAAGCGGGTTGGCAACCGCAACTGTTTATTTTTAATTGTTATTAGGAAGATGTTGCTGGTCATATCCTAACTTATTTCCCTCCGTCGTCTCTTACGACACGACACCCACGTGATGATATGGGGTAGTGGATATTCTTACACTGCCCCTACAATTTTTTTGTATAGAATATGACACACAGTCCACCTGATGGTAAATGGATGCTGTGGCCTATAAATATCTACATCTCTCTCGAACAAGAATCGAAATGCAGATGCGTTGCCACCCCTGAGGAGTAAAATGGAATGCCTCCTTTCCAGTCAAAATGGTCTCCGGTTCTCTACACCCACCATACGAAACACAGTAGCATTTAACTGCTATTTTATGCTGGTATTCTGTGAGAGCGTGGTCCTTCCTCTGTCGACGTCACCCATTCGTGCTACAACCATACAAATATAGCTGCAGTATTTCTTTTCCACGTATTACGTATTACACGGTTAATTATTAAAATAAATAAAAATTAAAATAAGTACACTCTCTAAAATAAATTATAAGTCCTTTGTGGATTTCAAAATTTCACATTGCGTTGGCGGTATGAGGGAATTTATTGCCCCATTTCGTTCGTGTGGGTGTGGCAAGATCTGAATCTGGAAAATTCCAGAAAGATTTCTTGGCGTTCGATCATATTAAAACTAAAATTATACCAAACATAATGTACACAGACCAAAGGACGTAGGGGACAACTGCGTCAAATTCGAGATGCTGAGTACAGAAATCAAATAAAGTGTGACAGTTACGTCAATATCTCTCCAATATGGGAGATGTCCAGCATTGAATTGCTTATGACAGTTTATCACTTTATTATCTGAGTTAGTATTATGACTTTGAATATACGTACCAAGACGGGTGTCATATCAATTCTAGTGTCTATATCCATGCAAACGTGCAACTTCTGTTGTATAATAGAAACATCGAAAAGTCTGATACACATATCAACGAGGCCAGGTGGTATGTATGGTATCGGGATAGGCACACAGAAAGGCGGTGGATTACTCGCTGCATTGAAAAAAAATACATTTAAATTTTAAGATGGTAATATTACTTTTAAAAGTTTAGGTACCTATGGTTTTAGCGATCAGAAGCCGTGATCGCTAAAAGTAAAATGGTTTATAAACATTGTCTAATATAGGTAACAATTATGTCACTAGACATAGAATCGAAGACGTAAAAAAAAGGTTTTTTAAATAGTTACTTTAATTTCATCTCCTTTTTGTATGCTATTAAATCAAATAAATTTTCTCAAAATTAATACTCTTCTTATATAGAATAAGGGTAACAAGCAAACACACTATCCACCTGATATTAAGTGGATGCTACAGTCCATAGACATCCCATACATCTAACCTCGAATGAGAATCAAAATGCAGATGCGTTCTCACCCTTGAAGACTAAAATGGAATGTCCTCGTTTCCAGTAAAAAGAGTCTCCGGTTTTCTGCACTCACCACACGAAACACAGCACCATGAAACTGCTATTTTACGCTGTTTCAATTCTGTGAGATCGTGGTCCGGTCCGGCCCCGGTCGAGCCAACCCATTAGTGCTACAACCTTTAATGCTGCGGCATAGCTCTACCATTTAAAACTAATCAGTTACAACCTAAAGTCCATATTGTACATGCTTAAGAAACTAGCAGAAAGAATTAAATCATACTCGTATAATACTACTGGTAATTAAATAAGTTGGTAATAAATACTTTTTACGTATTCTAAGCTGGTGCTCGACTACGTTCCCACCTCATGGTAAGTACTAAGTACATTACCGCTTACGAAGATGGTAAAATCATCTTCCCTCTCCCCCCACCCCCAGGAGATCAATTTTTCCCCACCACCTTGATTTAGCTCGTCAAAAGTCTCTTGCTTTGAAGGATACCCACATTGTAATTTTATTTAATTTTTCGTTTTCTTTTTTATGTTTTAAAGGGGGGAAAACGAGAAAACAGTTCACTTGAAGATAAGAATGCTGTAGTGTGGCACATAGACACCTATAGACACGTACTCGTATATCTATGCTCAATGATGAATCCAGATGCAGATTATCAGTATCACTACTAAGGACTTAGATAAAAACTTTTCGAACAGTAAAATGGGTGTCTGGATCTCGTCACTTGCTAAACGGAGCATTCTGTTGCTATTTCTAAGTCACTACTTTTTGTGCAAGATTTATCGTTCCAAGCTGACCCATTTTTTTAGTAGCTCTAAGCAATTAATAGTAAAAAAATATATTCTCAACATTGAAGTAATCTAATACTGCTTGTTATATATATATATATATATATATGCCCCTTGTTATATTTATGCCCCTTGTATCCAATACTACTATCGGAAGATAGCATTCATAATTACCTACTTTATTTTTTGATTATTTCTAGTGAATAAATAAAAAAAGATTGTTATTCTTGAGGAGAATTATATATTTTATAAATAATTAAAAATATTTCAATTCGAGTTGGACTTTACGACGAATTTTTTGTTATTTTTTAATAATTATTAATATTTCGTATTTCTTTTAAATATGTAAATTTTATATTGTTTATATATGCGTTTAAAAATATGTTTAAATATGCTAGTTTTTTTCTGTTCCGACTCTACCCAGAGCTCCCACAACCCAAAGATTAGCTGGTAGAGAATGCCTTTTCAGTATTAAGCTCGCCTGTGTACCAAATTGTTTTGAGTGTAATAAAGAATTTTCTGTCTATTTGTCTGTATAATATATAGTGTTACAAGTTATAATTAATTTAAGAAATGACCATATTAAAAATTGAGAAATTAAATCCAACTAAAATACCTGAAAACATTTGTAGCAAAACGCTGTTATTGCTCATTTTAACTTCTAAATTGATCGTGGCATCTCCAGGCTCGAACTTTAGTATAACACAGGCTGTAAAAATTAAAATCTACTTTAATGTTTTTAGAATTAATTAATGTAAAGCTACAAAATAATTTAAATCATTTATACGTTATACCCTGCTAAACAAACATACGATGGTCTGGTGAAAGATTTATAGCGGGAATTAATCCTGTAAACCTAGATCAAGCCGCCCAGAAGCGAGGTGAGTGCAGACAACCCGTCTGAGAAATTCATACCGGCTGGCCTATTCTTCAATGGGTCAATACTAGAATTCTTTGACGCTACTCTTTACAATCGGTATTTAAAGTCTAGTAGTATGGTTTTGGGACATATTCCACCATATAGCTTGTCGTATGTCACTAGATTGTTTAGCTGTACCTAAGCCGTTGCTTACATAAGCTGTTTGAGGTGGGCTGTATAGATATATATGGATCGCTGTCGGATTATGACGACATTAATGACTTGATAAAGTTATCATCATCATTGCTTTATTTCCGGTTACAAATTTTGCCACATCAAAATAAACCATCATCAATTATTTGTCATCACCGGCAACACACACTGGTTATACACTTTTTTTACCAAGTCCCGAGGTCTAGATGATGAAAAGATGTATGTAATCTCCCAAACGCTGTCTAACCAAGAAGCATCAGTCGGTAAATCCCTCGGTTACAGTTGATTTTCCTAGTCGAACAATTTGTCCTAAGTCAATAACTTCAAGCGTATAGTGTTGCCAACTACTAGCATAAGTGTGACATAGACGTTACACATAACTCTCATCGAGCTATGGAGAGGGTTATGCTTGAATAGGATCTCTAAGTTCTCTGCGTATAGAAAAGAATAAAAAAAGAAACGAAACGCAGATTTCTGCAATAAAGCAAACTAACATAGCCCAACGGATCAGTAAGCTGAAGTGGCAAAGGACCGGTCATTTATCTCGAAGAAACAATAACGAAACGGGAATAAAAGTTTTCGAGTGACAGCCTCTTATCTGGGAACGATGTGGGCCTAGGAAGGAAGCGGAAGGTCTACTTTATTCAATATTGGACTTGTAATGGGCCTGTATTGATTGAATAAATTAAAATTATAAAGTAATAATTTCTTTATTTTTGTCATTAACTTTCATTAGCTAAAACAAAACTGGCATGATCATTTGTTGAAACAGGATACTACGGTTGTGGTCTGGTTTCAAGGATGCCTTTATATTTTAAGCGACTTCAAAAAAGGAGGAAGTTCTCAATTCCACTGTATGTTTTTCTAAGTGTGTTACCTCATAACTTTTTTCTAGGTTAACCGATTTTGATCATTTTTTTTATTTAAAAATGCAAAAAATATAACCAGTAGTTTTTGAGTATGTAGTCTTTAATAATGGGTATTCAATTGGCTTCGACTACAATGATGATGTTTTCATTTTATTTATATTGAAATCGGGTATACAAAATTTTTAATTTTACCACTTTTAATCTATCCTTTTAAATTTTCTCGTGAAAACGCTAGCCGCCATGCGGTTCAACTCGTGACGTCACTGTCCTTGAATTTTGCCGATTTTTCAAAGTAATATAAGATACTTTTTAATGTTTATTAATGAGTTATCATCTATATCATTGTTGTTTTATGCCTACATGAAAAATACGAGCATAAGAACCGCGGGAAAGTTATGAATTCAAGTGCCAACTGATTTGAAAATGTATAAGAAATACTTGGTTACAACTGGAAAGACGATACCCGAATACATTGTCTACAAAAACTAGACTATTCTTGTGTGAACATCATTTTGATGTAAGTATGACTTATATTTAACTATCGTTTATACAAAACAAAACGTTATGATGTAAAGGGTATCGCAAGTCAAATTTTGTAATAAATTAAGTAAACTTAGATATTATAACTAATGATTGCTAATGATTGTAACTATAGATAAACTAAACTATGATAGCTACTAAACTATGTTTTATCAAAATACACTCTGAAATGGTATTGTGTTTTTGTATATATATAACAGAAATTGATAATAGGTACTTAAATTGATGTTTTAACATTCCTGAAACTTAGCAGAACAAAAATTGGGACTGCGTGCAAAAAAAATTTGCCACCATCAATTTATTTATCGTTGGTAGAGTAGTACTTTCTGCTTTTACGAATTCGACTTCCATGATGCCTTTTCAATAAAGTTCGGAATAAAACTCAATAATCGTAATGATAACTTGAAAATTTCGAAACAACATAGCACATTAGCTAGTTCTCGTAATCAGTGACACAGAACGCTAATACCCTTAGGCGGCGTCAGTGACGTCACGACAGCCTCTAATATGGCGGACAGCGTTTTGCAGATTTAAGACACAGACAAAAATATTCTTAACATTGAAATATAAAATTTATAATGCAATTTTATAAATAGAAATCAATATTTCTCGTTTACTTGTTACAAAGTCTATCATAAATATATATATATATTAATTTTTTTACATGGTGTAAAACACCCCATTAGTTAAATACTAGACGTGGGTTTCTTCTTAAGTATACGCGAATAAGTTATAAAAGTAATGGAGCTTGTCATTCACTAAGTAGTAAGTCGTGAGTCGAGTTTAGCATCTTAGCCTCTGATATTGTCATATAATGGTTACATTGGACACAATTGGATTAGGTCGAGTTAGAACAGTAATGGTGTTATAATTTGTCCTACACAGCTTACTCTTCTTGGCAAATTGTCGCCATGAGTAAACCTGTATAACAACATCATAGTAATCATCCTTATACACATATTAATTAGAGCATGATGGATGCACTGCAAATTTTAAAAGTTATATTGAATTCCGTGTCAGTTAAGGTGATAAGCACAAACTTTATAAATCATGAAACGCAAACAAACCGAGTTGGATATCCATCGGCACTAATGAATTTGTTAATTTTCGGCAAAGAAAAAATATTATGAATAAATCCGCAATTTCTGATAAATAAATAGAAAATTGGAGACATGCAAAGTCCGCCAACTCCCATTAAGGCAGCCCAGCAGATTCTTTCCTGCTCCTATGGTAGAATAATACCTTTAATATTATGTATACACTATGAGTGGAGGACTTAAATGTTGGATATTTGTAGACGGTTATTTCACTTTACTCTATATTTGTTTATATGTACTTAATAGAAAGTTACTTACTGCGCCTATCGAAACCTAAGGCTTCAATTCGAATTCCGGTACAGCATGTACATTTTAGGCCATCGCATTCGCATGGTCCACCTGTAAATGGAAGTCGGAGACGCCAGCCGGGTCTGTACCATGGCCTTGGCATCATTTTTCTTATTGTCTGAAAAATTTAATTTCCGCAACTTATTAATAATATCGATTCTCTACTTGATGCTAGAATCGAGCGCCGGGACGTATATAGCCGGAGTGTATAGCCATATGAATTCTCAATTTCACGCGATTCCACCTCAGCTGCAATGGAAAGGGGTAGAAGACACCCTACATAGTAGATTAATTTATATTTTATTAGCAGTGATTATAAGATATAATATGCGAAACAATTGGACATAACCAAAACTTGATTTGTGAAAGTGTCTAAAATGACTGTGATACAACTAACGATGGTAATGAATAGTACGTAGCTTTTACTCATTTAGTGAACCGATGATTAATTTATGGTATAATTATTGCTGCACTGTCTAAACGGGATGCGCGGATATTAGCCATGGCAGCTTAACTTATGTCTGTTGGTGAGAAAATAGTGGGTCATGGTCTTTCATCACTGCATAACGCGACATAAGGGAAAACGAAACGTTTTTTTAAACATGGGAACCAGACATTAGTGATTTTCTGTGCTACATTATACAGTGAACATTATATAATTATTGTAGTCTGTCTTTAACTTAAAGAACTTGGAAGTTGATCCTTAGTAGTATTGCATGAATTCATTAAGCCAATTTTATGGTTATTTCCTACATAAAAACAAATACTTAGTGACTGCCACGTTGGTCTAGTGGTCGTAAGCGCAACTACTAAAGATAAAGTCCCGGATTTGAATCTCCGGTTGTGCCAAAATCAGCTATAGGGCTTATCCTATCAAGAACTTCCTAGTAGCAGCCTGTTCTAAGGAATAAAGAAATATAAAAAATGTATGTTAGTTTTACCTCATTTGTATGAACATTGTAATAGATTGAAAAATCAGATACGTCAATTGCATTGTCTAGTTTTTTATTTTCTGTTTTGATAGCATTTTGACTGAATGTTGTCCCTGGAAATCGTAAAAATTGTTAATAGCATTTTGTAATTTCATGTTTCTCACCAACCCAGTCAAATCTACTGTTGATCCCTTTAATAAAGAAGATTTTCCATAATTGCCAAGTTTGGCAGGCGGATTGGCGATTACAGTAGTAGTTGTATTCACCTTTGACACTCTTCCCTGTCGCAGGTCTAGTTATTTTATGTCTACGGCAGACGGGGTGGTTATTTACTTAAATTTTTATCAAAAATTGTAAAATAATATGCCACCTTAATCATAAATATACCACATTAAGATGCAGATAATATTCCACCAGATGGTAAATGGTAAACAACTATCATCGATTAAATATCTAAATGTTTATGTATAGAGAATAACTGTGAAATTCTAATTTCAGATTGTAATTTTAATAAGTACTACTATCATATCAAAAACAAAATGTATGTTTACATATCAGTAACAAAATATATTTAAGTATTCTTACGAAATTTCACCTCACCTGCAATAATAGTCGTGCAAAATAGCAAATATAACACTGTAGTCACTTTTGCTTTCATTTTTTAAACTGTATCCTATATTTCAATATATAATTGTTACTGTCTCAAGAGACAACATTCAAATGACAACACATTGATATAATAAGTTAACACCAAACTGTTAAAGGTTTGACTTTAACTATTTGTATGCAAGATACGTCGTGCTATAACGCTACAGACTTGCGGTACTTTCTAGAGAAACTGCTGCGAATCGACCACCGCCGAGAACTACTTGAGCTAAGCGTCGTTAAATATCCATCTTCATCTGTAGGGTTATATACTTTCGAGCTATGCAGTTCAGTGAAAAACTAGTTTAGTTTTAACATAATATAATTATTTATTTTAGTTTATAACAATAAATATGATTAAAAGGTTAAGACACAACAAGGATATTGACTAATATTTCGGTCCTAAAACATTTTTACTAATCTTAACGCTTGACGCAATGGCACATATCTCATATCGTTATATAGAAGAATGTCTTAACTTATGTTTTCAACATAATAATTTACATTTTATTTTTAGTTTTTGTCGAAAAACTGACACGGTCTTATTTTTATTTAAGTGAAAAATATCTTAATCTTCAAAAACGTTGAGTAACGATCGAACCAAGCTGTCATCGTACTCTTCAATATCGTCTTCACCAGCGTCAATAACGGCGTCAACACCACCATGTGGATCAGGTATTGGAAGCCCTCCACCTTCATCAGGTTTTACCATTGCAATGCCGTTTGCACCCATCCTAATGAAAAATAAAAATATTTGGAATTATTATCATTTTACAAAATATATAAAATGTAACAAATCTTGTATATATAGGTACCTTAAGCAATCAAACGCAAGATTGAAAAGTTCAACAGAGCGCCATTGACCGTTCATTGCCAAACAAAAATGAAAGTTCCTTCCGGGAAAAAATATGTTATAAAACCTCGCACACACTTTCAAATTAGGCATTCTCGGCGGACTTATGCATACGGGCCGAGGGTTTTTCCCTGCAATTTTTATAAAATTAGAAAATTAAGCTAATAAAACTAACTTACAAAAATGTAAGACATACCTGACAAAGAGTTTTCATAAAGGACTCTGTCATTCATTGACATCGCTACATCAAAGGCAAAATCACCCGGATGATAAGTAATTTTTATGCAAGCTTTTTGGTTAAACAAATCTAAAATTAATCCTGTGCAACATTTACATACGCCTAAGGAGCATGAACAGGGTCTTCTTAGAATAGTGTCTTCTTCTGTCGATTCTTGATTTTGTCTCGAGTATTGTTCTGCTATCGCTAAGTTTTCTAAGCTAAAGAGGCTTTTTAAAATTTCATTTTCTGCTACCTCCAAACCTTTTAATTCATTTAAATGTGTTGCGTTTTTCATAAAACCCCCTGGAAGATTTTTTGTGTTTATTATATTTATATTACTTGTTTCATAACTTTCAAAATATTAAGTAAACAGTGAAGGTGCTAATATAACTTTAAAAGAAACTCACCTATTTGCTTTCCTTCAGATCCAAAAACAAAATATGTTACTATTATCAAATACTCAATTTTCTGCATCATTATGAAAGCTACCATTATTTTACTTATTATATGACAGCCTACAATCCTATCTAGTGGTAAGTGGCCCTAGATTGCAAATAGCACTGTCTTTGCGTAACAAAAGCCTGTGACTCTATATGTGAGTATAGAACTTAGCGCGACGATTGAGTGAATCGAACCGGTTCTCTTCCCTATATAGAAAATACTTTCACATAATCAACTATAATTAGCTATAAGCATCTCGATCTTTTATCAGTTTTATTGTCATAACACTTTCTGTATTTTGTTTATCCGTTGAAAACTGTTATAAACAGTTAGTCAAAAGAATAATGCGCGCGGAGCGATGGCAGAGATATGCATGCGGTGTTTAACTCAACCACACCTTTTTATAGGCCTTATTCGTTGTAAATACACAGCCTTATGATATAACTGTTAGCATGTAAATTTCATTAAATCACTGAATTGCCAAATGTCTGTATTCTTCTCACATAATTAATTTCTGACTTTGTGTCTTTGTATAATACAGTATGGATACACCTAGTAGTTTTAATGTCAATGCCTTTTATGATACTTCGTTGTAATTATAAGAATATAAAAATATTATTTCATTATTATAACTATATAAATATATAGTAAAACATCAGATTTTTTATTGATTTATTACAATAAATAAAATTTATTTTTATTATTAATAATTATTTACAAACTGTTTTAAAATTTGATACAGAAGCGTACATCTCTTATTCAAATAATTCTCCGATTGCATCGCCAATGTCATCAAGCGGTCCGCTATCGTTGGGTCTTCCAAAAAGGCCTCCACCATTTCCATCGCCTAACAGTGTTCCAGCAGCATTTTCCAAAAATCCACCACTGTCTTCATTATTTCCATTGCCAAATAAATTAACAGGCTTTGGACCGGATGATATAGGTTTAGGCTTTAATCCTGTTTGAACACCGGATGATCCAAATCTACAAACAATATTACTTATTATTATAAAAAACAGAATGAGTTCAATCTTAATATCTTAATATACATAAATTACGTGTCATGTTGTTTGTCCGCGATGGACTCCTAAACTACTTAACCGATTTTAATCAAATTTGCACACCGTGTTCAGTTTGGTCTAACTTGAGAGATAGGATAGTTTTTTTTGCACATGAGGGACCTACAATTTTTTGTTTTGCGAATTTAAGGATTTTTAATAGGATATGACAAAGGGTCGTCGAAAAGGGCAGAACAACGTCTGCCTGGCAAGCTAATTGTATATAAAATATCTTTAAATAAAATGGTATATATATCTACCTACTGGATGATTTTTTACCGTCTGAAAAAAATGGTGTAACAATCGAACGAAATATATATATATATATATATATATATATATATATATACGTATTTTAATTGTAATCCATACAAATAAACCAAACTGAACTGTCCGTGTGTAATATCAAAATAACTGCCTAATATTGTGAGCTTAGAGGGTGGTTATTCAAATGTGAATTCCATTTACATTTGAATAACCACCTCAATTTTTTTTGTTTGTCAGTCTGTCTGTCTGCAGGGACGTCTTAACCTATTGTAATGAAACTTTACGAATAGATAGAAAGTAATGCCAAGAGCCATATTTTACTTCAAATACTTTTTTAAATAAAATTAAACAAAACTAAGGATTGGTAAAAACCATAAATAACGCCACATTAATAGATACTAGCGAGGCTAAGTTATATAAACGGTGTCTTCGCTGATCAATACAATTATATAAGTGTAAAATCTTTTTTAATAAGGTAGGAATAAGTCTATTGATAAAGTGATCTTAATTTGGCTTATGTTACGCAAAAAAAGCAAATTCACAAGTTTTTACGTTTAAAAATTTGGCAGATTTAACATCCGAGGATCCGAATCAGTTTCCTAGAAAATTAATTTTCAAAAATAGCCCCAGAAAGTGCATTTTCAGTAGTATATCAATTAGATTCGAATCCCAGTCAAAGAGTATTTCATGTTAATGAAAACTTAAAAGGGATCTTACATTAGTTTTATTATGACAAAAACTTTAAATTTAAATACTTAAAGATATGGAAAAATAAGAAATAATAGGAATGTAAGGCGAAATATTTCAATCTTTATATAATCCTAGTAGTCCTTAGCGTGCTCTACTGATTATTGGACGAGGTTCGGCTATTCACACTAAACCGTTGAACATAACTGGCCATAAATTCGCCTAACCAGCGTGGTAAGCACAGACAAATGTCTTAAGAAAAAATTATTTGTCTTATTCTAGAAATAACAGATATGAGATTGGACTCGTGTTGATGTTATAAGACAACAGTTCCATAATAAGTTGTACACAAATGGTTACATGCAGGAATATGTTATCACAAAATAAGTTACAAAAATTTCCGCTTAGTAAAATAATTTCATTTTACATGTAGCAATGAACAAATGCAAGATTTTATTAATTCTCACCCGAAACATCTAAACGAAGCCGAGTAAATAGGGAAGCCACCAATATCCGCATTTATGTCCAAACACGCAAACGCATTTCCGTTTCTGACCCGAATATCAGAAATTTCTGCGCAAACACGCACAAAAGGTGCTCTTCTGGGATTAAAACAAATAGGAGGTGGGTCACTTGCTGAAATGTGTATTATTTAAAATTTTAATGTTGTAAGTATATGTTTGTACGGTAACTAAAAGAAAACAGTGTTAAAATAACTTAAAAAAGAGAAAAAACTTTTAAAGGAAAAGATAAGTACGCATACGTGGATAAGTAAATAAAATTAAAAAAATACCTGAAACTCTACGTCGAACGACGGTATTATTATTGACGCTTAATTTAACGTCAAAAATAAAATCTTCCGGTACAAATGTAATATTACCACATGCCTTCATCCTAAATCTTTCTAATATCGATCCTGTACAGCACCCACATTGTCTTTTAACGCAATTGCAAGGAAATCTTACAACTTGACCCTCAACTTGTTCGACAGGTGTGTCGTTAACTTCGTTCTCTTCAATAGGACCTTGACTTACAGTAGAAATTGTTGTGACTGGATTTTGTGTTACAGCTTGTATATCCAACTCATCATTAACGTTAGCTGGTGTAACATCTTCAATTGCTTCTGGAGTTTCATCTTCTACTTCTTCCTCCAAAACTTCATCTTCTTCATCCTGTGGTACTTGTACGGGCAAAACTATAGTAACTGGTGATTTCAGTATAGGTGTTGGATTTAACGCTTGTTTCCAAACAGAATTGGGAACTCTAAAATGTATCACTTCATATTTTCTGTCTTTTGAAACGATAACATCACCTAAAATATAAGTAAGTATATTATGTAAATTAAGTTAATTTAAATTAAAAATTGAACGTATATTTCTTATATTTTAATAAATATATACAATAATTACGTACTAATACCGGCAAAACATAAATTTATAAGATAAAGCATTAACAATAGTTTAAAATAAATAATTGAAGCCATTATAACGTTTTAATACAATTAACAACAACAGTTACGCTTGACTTTCCAGTTGTAATTGTAGGTGTAGTAAGTCACCTCCTACTATTTAACGGCTGACCAGTAAAAATGTTTGAGGCTTATTTTAGCTGCACGGCCAATGAACACCACAAACAAGTTTCCAATTTAAATGCATCGAGAGGAGAAAGTGAAATTTGAATGCTAATAAAGATGAGACATGAATGTAATGATCCTGGAAAAGAAAACACGTAATTGTTTAACTAATGCTTACGTTAATTTATTATATATATTAACATTGTCAAGCATTAAACCAAAGACCTTAAGTATTAAGTATCAGAAGTTACTTACGCATTATGCTAGTAAAAATTTATTAATATTTATGTCATTACCAACTTGTATCACTTCTTCTTTATCAGCCATTTTATGTTTTCGTACCTAAAAAGGAAATAACGGAACTCTTATCCACCTTATGGTTCGTTCGTAATGATAATTATCTGTTGTAACTTTTAAGACATCTTCTAAGATTGTAACGTCTAATATATGCCCATACTTACTAAGCCAGCGGGTGGTAAACATAAACCCAAGGCCAACTCATAATATTGCTGCTCTCCTGATTACTATCTAGTTTTTGGGATTTGATAACATTTTCGAATGGATAATACACAAAACATACCTAAGTACAGCTACTCGTAGGTCATCTGAGCGTCGTTCATTAATTGAGGGGATAAACCAAGTAGAGGTGAGGTTGGCATTTGAAAAGAAAGTTGAACAAACCTAATTCCTCAAATTGATATAAAAATAATGTTTTTAAATAATTGTATTAATTACTTTTTCCCATGTTGTAACTTGTTCCCATGTCGTAAGAGAAAGAATCCACTACCACTACGACTGGTGGAATTGAAACAGAAGATGGGCACCATCATCTTTCTGACAACAATAAAAAGCTGCAGTTTCTAACCCAAGCCAAGCAATGACAGCGAATCCGCCAAGCATAGCAACTAAGGCAATATAGGTATAGCTGGGAAGGCCTATTTTTAGCAGAAGGAAAGTCCAATGAATGGAATATAATGAATTAATTAATGCATGATTTTTTAAAGAAATGAAAAACGAAGAAACAATAGTAACCAAAGCAAAATAAGCAACATGCAAATAAAGTTATTATTAAAAAAATTTACCAATTTAATATAAGTTAGTCTTATGTTATAAAAGGTTTTCTTGGTTTCAAAATAATATCTGATTTTATTGGATGAATTTATTGTACAAAGTATTTATTAATTTAAAAAGTGCAAGCTGCCAATTTAACTAATCAAAACAAGCAGTATAACTTTTCTCGAAGCTAGATTGAGCAAGTACTTGAAACTAAAGAATGTTGGGCATTGAAATATATTAATAGCGATAAATTATAATTTTCATTAAATATTTTAATTGATCCTAGTCAGAATCCATGAATCCATATCCATAAAACTATTGTATCGTCGTCGGTTCTACTCACACGTCTCCAAAATTTACATTATTCCGACGTCGGTGGTGACTAAAAGCCGAATTACAAAAATCTATTACATACCTATGCGTATATTGACTCAGCTCGAGCTAATAAAGTTAAAAAGGACTACGTTTGTGAGCAATGTCTATCTTGAGATAAAACAATTTTCTGTTGCAAGAGACACCAGTGATAGCAATGAACGATGGAGGCATAAGATGTACTTTCATCAGATAACATATGATATATATTAACATAATATATCATATGTTAACGAAAAACCTCCTTGAAGCTATAATTTGAGTAAATTATAATTAATCACATTTTTTAAGCTTATCTTAAATCTAACTCATAATCTTAAGGGGATCATAGAAAGACTTATAATTACACAGTATTATTTATATTTCATTAATAAATAACATTTCCATTAATTTACTATTTACAAAACTTTAAATATAGCTATGAAAAATAAATAGTGACTTTATCTAGCTTAACCTACAAAGTCTTCTATATCATGATTAAGACCATACACCTCGCATCATTTTATTTTGCCTCCTTCTATCTTTTCTATTCCTACTATCCTCATGATCGGTTGAGCCTACGGTTTCCGAAAAATCTCCAATAATATCAGAATAATCGTTGTTGCTTTCTGAACCTTTACGATTCTTAAAATGTTTGTTTTTGTATTGTCTTTTATTTCTTCCAAAAATACCAAGTTGTTGGCCTACGCTTTCTCCAATTTTAGTTAGATCCAAAACATCAAGATCATCTAGTTGAAATCCACCACCTTTATGTTTATTTTTCGATAATGTAAGGCCTTCATAATAGTTATTTAAAAACGAATTTTCGTGGTTTGTGCCATATGATCGTTTTTCTTCAGGATTAGAAAAACCTTTTTCCGTTACGACTTCTTCGGAATGTGAATCAAGATTTTGAACAATTTGGATCATATCATCATTAACACTTTCGGATGGCTTAAGCGATGCCGTAGATGGCTTATTTGGTGTCACCGTTTCAATTTTTTCATAATTCACCTCAGTATGAGCTGGTATTTTCGAATTTGATTCTTTTTCATCAGGTAAAACTGGAGTAATGGGCATAACTGCAAGCTGGCCAGTAATATGAGCTACTGACATTTCAAGGCTAGGGTCTTCGAAGGTGGTACCAGGCTTCACTGTTGTAAAAGACTGAAGTGGTGATATTGTTTCAGTATTGGAAACTGATTCTTGGTTTATAGTATCAACAGTTGTCTTATTTTCTACACTTTTAGTAGGAGTGTCGGAATCTACAAGTGCTACTGGTTTTGAAGAAATAGTTGAAGATACAACTGAAGTAGGTGAAGGAGGTCTTCTAGAAGGACGTCCGATTGGTCGTATTGTTGGTCGGCGTGTTCGTTGAGTCACAGGGCGAACTCTTACTGTGGTTGATCTAGTCGCAAAAGGTCTTACGGTTGTGACTCGTGTAGCTGGTCTCCTTGTTGGTCGACGTGAAGGACGAGGACGCCTTGTTGTTGAAGAAGAAATAGGAGCTTGTTTATTTTTACTCTTGTTCGTTTTTTTACCACCCGAGCCAAACAGGTCTCCGAGTAAGTCTTCTCCTAAAAGACTAAAACCTGTGTAGTCAGCGCCGCCAACATCATTGACAGCATCAAGCTCACCTAAAATAAAAATGAATGTATTAGGTTATATAAGATAAATACATTTTATCTATTTATTTAAAGTCTGATTATTCTGATATTCTAGTAACAATACTAGAATATAAATATTTGAAATAGCGTATTTTTATGAATATTTTGTCCTCTCTATCTCATATTCGTTTCATGTAGCTCTAATTCCTGTCGTAGTCGTGTCGGATTACCGTCCCATCGGACTTTGAAAGTGAGGGAACAGAGAGTGCATCTGCGCTTGCGCGTACACTCGAGCACTATTATCCTACCCTGCAAAGACGAAATTCGGTGTGGAGGACATTTTCTCCTTCACACCGAATATCTTTTAATTCTTATTGTCGAATTAGCAAACGGCCCAATATCTGAACACTGTCACTGTCAGCGTATTATGATAACTTGAGTGAGATCTGTGACATGTAAAAAACTTAACCCAACTTTATGCCATTGCAAAACTATAGTAAGTACTATAATATAATGTGTACATCTTGTATTGTCAATCTGGTAGTTACACCTAAGTTTCTTATTTTTTCATGCTTATTTGCGTGTTTTGGACCAAACAATAAACAAATTGCTGTCTTATTATTGAACGAGGATGTTTTTACTTAGTACAGTTTGTATATTATGATTTAGGAAACACAAACTTATGATAATATGTTCTTATTGATATGTATACTCCTTCCTGTATATTTTTTTAATTATTTGTTACTAATTTTTATTGTCACTAACCATCATCGTCATCATCATCGCCCGTTATTCCTTCATAATCATCATCAGCACTAAGCCCTAAATCGTCATCATCATCGTCGTCTTCGTCATCTTCATAATCATCTTCGTCATCATCAGGATTCTTCTCATCTTGAGGGACCAACGGTAACGGATCGGCTGGTTCAGAAGAAACCCCCCGTGGCCCAAATTTAAAGCAAGACACTCTAAGGGCGGCTTCTATCGTATTTTTAGATTGGAGCTCTAAACCAAGACAAGCTCTGAATTCTTCGCCAGATCTTGCAATATTATAAACTCGTCCACAAAATTTGGATATTCCTCCAGGCAAAGGCATACAAACTGGACTTGGTTTGCGACCTGCAGACAAGAAATTCAAAGTTAGGGTTGTATTCAGTTTAAGTTCATATAATTATTAAATACCCACACCGGTAATTGTTGGTTACGCTCGAAAGTGTTGACAAGTATGTGTTCATTCATTCATTACAGCCCATCGAGAGTCCAGTAACGAACGTAGATAGAACGTAGATAGGATCCCTATGGATTGTCTCGTAGAAGGGATTTCTATTTGGCATGGCTGCCATGCTGCTCATTTGACATGCCGGTTGACGACGGCAGCTTTTGTTATTTTAAGTAATTACGAAAAAGATGTTGTTGCACATCACTTGTCTTATTTTCCTCTGTCGCTTCTTATGACACCGACGGGATAATATAGGTAGTGCATATTATTTATTACACCGCTACTATACGGTAAACTTTGTGTAAATAAGCTTAGTTTCGACCAAGATAAGGTCAACCGACGGGCGGACAGCGTTCGGAGAATTACGACAAATCTTCTTGATCGATATACCTCAGACCCTTTTAATAAAAAGTATAAAACGAATGCGTTGCCAGTGATGAATTTTGGGACCAAAACATGGTCATTCACTGCTAGCCATATGAGGAATTCATCATGTTGCTTCCTCATATTGCCTATAAAAATCGGTAACAAGGATATTCGCAGAAAAACGTGATAAAACAAGCAGTCGATGGTCGCAGATTGCTTGGGACCGTACTTTGAGGTAATTCTTAGAGAACGAATAAACCCTTGAAGAACTGTGCATATTATTTATATGTCTTCACACTCGACGATTTGAACTTTTACTTAGAGAGAGAACTAAGTGATCGCCATTACATTTTCAATTGCATACAAATGTTAAAAACGAAATAGTTTTATATATGTAATTTTTATGTTTTGTATGACTTGTCGCTAGATTCAATAGTAATTATTAAAGGAAATTTTATAAATGATGATTTGTATATTTTTATACAAGTATTGTTGAGCATGCGTTGCAATGTGTTTATATTAATATAATCTGAGTAAATAAATCAATTAAAAACCATCGAAATTAAATAATACGCACCCAATTAGTAGTATTTATTGATAGATCAATTTCATGTGCTAATGTATGTAAAAGAAATTATAAAATATCAGTGCCCTAGGCTTCTATTCCCTACACTACTACCCTTTTTTTCCTATTTTTTCGAGACGGTTAAAAACATCAATATTGAAAATATATATAATAATTATTTAAAAATACTTACTTGACAATGTGCGGTTAGTGATTACTTTTCGTCCAAAACTCAAAGATATAGACATCTTGTCGTTGTTCAGATACATTAATGTTGCACATCCTGAAAATGAAATATTTTTAGAAAATATTTATTATATCAATACACATAGTTATATTATTAAAATCAAGGAACCAGCTTTACCTGCACCACTCAAATTCACCAGAGGTACTTGAAAATCTCTACAACAATTACAGAATAGTTCCGCACATTTGCAATACCTATTGATGCTATTATCTTCTATTTTAACGTCGCTGTTTTTATTTTGGATACCAGTTTTGGTAGTCTTTTTTCTTCCTAAAATGAAATAAAATCTTAAAAGAATGTACATGCGAAAATTTTAGGCGGAAAACGTTGATGGTGATCTTTGCTACGCAAAAGTAACTCACGGTTTAGTGTTCAAATAAACAATCAATTTCTTCTTATGCTATTAGCCATATATATTAATTAACCACATATAAAAATTAAAAAAAAGTATGGTTAATTAAAACCTGACTACAAATAACACATATTTATATACATGCATATTTGAACAGTACGGATATAAATGCATTTGCATTTCATGATTGTTGTAAAAAATGGATCAAATGTTAGACGACAGTTTTTCGTTTTTCCGTAATGTCTGTGCTATACAGATTCATCGCTATCATGCTATACATACACACACAGACACACACACACACACAAACACACACACACACACACATACACTATTTGATCCTATTAAATTTAAATAGCTCATTTGAAATATGTAATTTAAAGACGATTTAATTTATAGACTTACCGATGTTTTTAGAGGCGGCGAACGCCAAAAGTACAAATATAAGTAGAAGCTCAAAAACCAGGGAGAGCTTCATCTTGAAGTTCTTCTCCCCGCCTGTTAAGAACATACAATATGTGAAATTAGCTATTACATGAATTAGATGATAAAAATAATTCCGCTCTATTTATTATTTTCCTTTTCATTCAATGTATAAACTTAACATGTGATATTTTTTTTAATTCTTTGTGTCATACAAATATATCCGTAAAACAAGCTCACTTAATATATTGTATTGAAATTATCTTTAGTAGTTATATTTAATTTTCATTATTTTTAAAATTATAATATTTAAATAGTATTTTCCATCTCATGCTTCTCACATTAGCAAAGATGAATTGAGGAGCCCGTTGAAATCTTTTCTTAGAAATACGCCACTCTAAAATAAATGATTCACAAGAAAAGTATGTATGAAATATACTTGTTGTGTTGCAATATTTATCGTTAATATTTTCCTATTAAATTTACTTACTACTTAAACACTTTTGTACAAAAATTAATTAAAAAGATTATAAAAGTCAAAGTACAAGAAATAATAGAATGTTTTAACTTCGCGGTATGGTTTGGTGAATGCATTTAACTAAATTACTATTTTTATATAATATTGTATTATTAAAATAAATAAAAAATATTTAACTTACCTCAAGTAAAAACTGCAGTATTAGATAAATACAAAATCCACACGGCGATGTCAGTTGCTTCGTGGTCACACCAGTCCGAAAGTTGACGTTCAATTAAATTACAATGATTAGAAACCACGACAAGTGACCCTAAAACTTATTCAACGCCCGCCTTACAGTGATACCGGTACCATAATATAACCAATGCCTTGCGCTCAGAGAAATGTGAAATGACAAGGCACTGTCGACGAAAAAGGAAAACTATCGATCGATTCTCTCTGTCACTCGCAATGAAACTGTGAAGGATAGGCGAATGAAGGCACGTCCATATTTATCGTCTATGTAGAATTCAGTGTCAAACGTTTATGTTGCCTAGTATAATAAGTGTAAGGCTAGGAAAAAAACACAATCATAAGTAAACAACGTACAAAATGTTCCAAAAACTTAAAGGGCAATTGAATTATTACCTTCTGTGTTTTGTATTAATATTTAGATATTAGGGTGTAAAACTCTAAGACTAATAAAATGATACGCAACTCTACATGATCAAATTACACTTTTTAAAGACACAATGAAAAATATTTTTTATACATTTTACTTTTAATTATAAAATGGACATTGATTGAATGAGACATTTTAAAATAAAATATAATAAACGTTAAAATATCAACCATGCCATTCATTTAATATATTCTAAATGAAAGTGTAAAAGTATGTAATACTAAAAAATCAATCTCTGGAACTTAGCGTAAATTTATTTTTAAAGTTTATTCTAGAACCGTGTATATAGGAACGTTGATCACAGCAACTTAATACTACTATAACGTAGTGGTGCGTTAATTATGAACTTTTTACGCAGCTATTGTATATTGGATCTACCAAAGTGAGTGTTAAGATAGTTTCGTTAGTTTGTATATACATATTGATTAAAACTAATTTTACGGATTTTATCGCGTTTATTTTTAATTTTAATTATTTTTATTTTTAATTCCCGACGTTTCGGGTGCTTTCCAGCACCCATGGTCACGGGGGACTGAGGTGACTGACGTCTCGATGTCATTGTTAAACCCGGAGTACCTTCAGCTTTTTTAATTATTGTTTATGGTCCGATCTATGCAAAATAAACTGACGAAATACATAATGTGAAAATTGTTTAATACAAAACCTTGCTAAAATAATAAATAACATATTTGTACATATAAAAGTTTTCATTTAATTCAAAGATGTACACCACTATAGAGTGAACGCACTACATGAAGGTCGACACTGTTCGAACGCCCAACCGGCTTGAAATCGGCTACTAGTGGTTCGGTCACTTTCTATACGGAGAAAGTTGAATGTCGTCTCCGAACATATTTGTTTTTCAAAACTCCTTCACACTGTATCACGTAATTGTTAGTCTGGGTCAATGTTCGATTGGTAATCAAATAATGTTTAGCGTTTTACGCATCATGTAAATATATTATACATTTAAAAAACATGTAACAATAAAATGCAACAATGCAATGTGTTTTCGTCATTTACACAGAAAGTGTTTATATATATATATATATATATATATATATATATAGTTCACCGCTGAACGTAGGCCTCCTCCAAGAAATCAACAAAGACCGTTGACTTTTGCTCTAGGTAAACATATTCGTCATCAACTTCGAGCGTAGTGTCCTGACAACTCCGGCATAGGTGTGACTTTATTAATAACCTTATGTTATTCATAACCTTTGTCTTCACCATATTTATCTTAAGACCTAGCCGTTATCCGTTAGGTCTTAAGATGACCTATCTGTTGGGAGACACTGTTGAGGTTATTGAGCACAGTGCTAAAGTCCTCCAGCGATTCCGCCATAATAACAATATCGTGAGCAAATTGAAGATGTGTGATGCACTCGCCATTAATTTTGATACCATTTCCTTTTCATTTCAGAAACTTGTACCCTGCCGATTGACAGACGAGGTTTGAGTACCAGTATAATCAAAAACGCTGAACCCAAGTTTTATAGATGCCAGTCCATTGTGATGAGTAAAGGCAAGTTTTCCAAATAATGCTTGCCAGTTAGCGCATTCTTGGAAAATCCTGTATACGGTTAAAGTTGATTTTGTAAGGCTATTTTATGAGGACGAAGATGAAAATTGGAATTTTTGCACATAATAAAGCATACAGATATTATTATATTGCATTACTTTAAATTATTCACAATAGCAGTAGGTACTGCTATCATAGGAGATAACAATAACCAACCGTGAACAATAAGATTTATCCTCCATGGGAAGAACAATGTCCAGCTTTTACGAGCAGTTGAAGAATCAAAATAGTTTAGTTTTTACACAAAATAGTTTAGGTTTTACACAATACACTAGTTCTAGATGTACCTACTCATTAATCTGTAAACGTTGCTTGCTCAATCTGGATAAAGAGGTAAGAAATTGTTGCTTTTATATTCTACAGTCATCTGACGTAAAAGCAACAGTTTCGTTGCTGTTTTTCAAAAAGATGAAGAACTTAAAGACTTTGAACAAATGAACATTTACATTTTTATTTATATAGATGTATTTAATACTAGAAGTATTGTTAAATAGTATATTGATCAAAAACGTCGTGTTGTTCTTACTTTAAAAATACGTTATGTTATAGGTGTAACAAAGATAAATATTTTATCTCGTTTTGACAGGCGCGGTTATAATAATAACAATTTTATTATTTTTCAAGCAAAGAATATCTTAATTTCTACGATACAAACACTTTCAGTACAGCTTAACAATGATACAATTCAGTGAACATCTGTGTCTGAACTAGATAACTTAATATCTACGTTTCAGACAGCCACGCTCTACCCTTTAACATTTTACAATTCACTGTATACAAAAAGATCACAAATTGATAACTTATATAGCTGTAGAGTGTAGTTAAGCCTCCTTGTGTGTATATTGATAGTGTGTGTTTGTATGTAGAAGGATGAGTATAATATTTAACGAGATACATTAAGTAATTGTTCACTTTCATTATAGTTCAGTTTATGGATATATTCCTTCTGCACTCTCTAATATTTAAGCTTCGTATTTCCATAATTTTGCTAATTTTAGAATATAGATATGGTGGATCCATATAGGGAAAATATTCAAATATAATTATCACGCTTACATATTATATATCTATGTAACGGAATCTTTAGTGTATTTTTCAAGACCTTGTAGGCAGTCGATTGAGTTAAAAATTATCTTATATATTATCCTCTTATCAAGGACCGATGCCAAGACAATAATTTCACCAGGATCGCCAGGATTAAATAAAATAATTATGAGGATTATCACAGCTCTTGATCGACAGTATTTTTTAACTTTTTTTTAAATTCTTATATTATTTAAATTATACGGGGCTATATTTCAGAGTAGCCATATTTTAAATTTAAGTTCTAATATATAAATAATGATATACTGTGAGATTTTTTAAATTAATTTTTCTTCACCATTTGCCTAAATTACTTATTCTGAATCTTCTCTGCAAATTTGGCCGGTTATTGCAAAATAACCTTATATAACTGTATTTGTTATCATACAAAAATGTATGATAGGGTGGTGAATGTTAGGGTGAATCCCTTTGTTTATTTGCTGTTGTTTAGTAGCCCATTCTTAGTTTATATTCGAAATAGAATTATTTTTCATTTAATCGTTGTGCAAACATCCATAACACATTCGTCTAAATATTAAATCCTACAATATTGGCTTGTGCAATGTTATGTTCAGGTATAACGATGAAAATAGATCATTATATATTAATACGCCATTCTTTGTTTTCCTGTTGCATTCTTCTTCTTGTTTATCAGCCCGAAAATGTTCAAAGCTAGACATGACCTCTCCCATTGTATGGAGGATTTCCAAAATCTCGATAGAGTTTTTTTACTGGGATTCCATCTTAGTCCTCAGAGGTGACAACGCATCAGTTTCCCTCAGCCGCCTCTTACGACATCCACGTGACGATAAGCAGTTGTGGATATCCTTACATCACCAGTACACGGTTAAAAATTATATTAGAAAACAAATATAAAAAGTAAAAATATTTTATACTCTGGCGAAAATACCTAATTCAGATATACCATCACTGCAATGCCAGTAATACATATACCTAATTATAAATCTCATATTTGCACAATTAACTCAATTTGGCTTCGCTGATTTCCCCCATATCCTACTACTCACATCCCGGATCCTACTAAAGGTGGCCTTGAGATTAGAATTCATATATTAACTTTATTCTGTCAATTTACCAACTTCGAAAATTAAACTTCGTAATACTTAATTGTGTAATTATCCTCCGAAATAGAAAATAAAACAATATTTTCTAATGTATCTCAACGAACTTTAATTGGAGTATGTTACACATGATCCGTCGCTAGCATCGTTCATTGACTTCAATTGCAAGGTAGTAGACCGTAATGCATTATGCACCTGA